TAAATATGCTGAGTTGCTTTATTTTTAATTAAAAGCAGCATGCAATTATCTACTGTATTAGCACTAGTCTTCTGACAAATACAAATCTCTCCCCTTCACACTAGACGGACTTTCAATCTTCAGTCTCTATGCTGCAACTTCTGGTCTCTACCATTTAGTTTTCAATCCCCTGGAGTTTGCTTGTTATATACCGCCACATCTACCAATGCTCACAGGACCTGACAACTATTCACTAAACTTCTGCAATACAATAATTAAAAACTGACAGTAACATTATTAAAATAATTACAAAGATATACACATAATTGCATTAAATAATCAACCTTTAAAATTAACAACCATAACAATAAGACTATTGTATTTATTTATTTGTTTGCATAGATTTAAAAATCCAGGGCACTTTACATAATAAAAAGAATCACGATGTTGAACAAAGTTAGTCACCAAATGCTTTAAAATGAGCTGTTTTTGTCATTTTTCAAAAAGATGTTAGAGAAAGAGTCAACCTTATTTATAAGGGAAGGCTATTCCATAAAACTCTGAATGAGAAATAGTGCCTCCAAGATTTGACACACACATATACGTGCCCGCACACACATCAAGAAGTGAAGAACAACCAGTACCCTTTCCCAAGACAATCATATAGGATGGGTTGTTTCAGGTAGGAGAAGATCGTCCTGCAAATATTTAGGTACCGATCCATTTAGGCCTTTACAGATCAATGCTTTGAATTGCACCCAGAAACTTATTGGTAGAAGTGTAAGGCCTGCAACAACAGTGTTACAGTACATGCATTTGGTGGTCATATCCATCAACTATAGTTTTCAAGTGGTCTTCTATGAGTCACTGTTGCAAAACCCTTGTGCTCCAGGTAGGGCCACAACTGATGCATCAGCCAAAGCTGAGCAAAGGAACTCCTCACCATGACTTCCACCTGCCCATTAAGCAATAGCTGTGAATCCTGATGGATCCCTCAGAGATAGTGTTTCTCCTTTGAGACACAACTCTCGAGCTGAGAATCACTTTAAACAGCAACTTCTCCTTGCTTGGGTTCAGCTTCAGCCTGTTTTGTCCTGCCCAGACCCGCACAACCTCCAGACATGGGGACAAAATTTCCATGGCACCACCAGCCCAGGCTAGGGTGGCGATGTACAGTTGAGTATCACATACCAATGATCCTGCACCACAAACTGACAGATGATGTCTCCTATCAACTTCCCCTAGATGCTAAACAGGGAAAGACTGAATCCTGCAGCACCCCACAAGTGGGTGGCCACAGGGCTGACTTCTCCTATAACCAGCAACTGGAATTGCCCACAGTAGAAGGAGTGGAACCACTGTAGAACATTGCCCCCAATTCTTGCAGACAGTTCAGAAGGATATAATTGCCAACTCTATTAATAGCTGCTGAAAGATCCAATAGGACCAGAAGCACTACATCACCCACATCCAGGCCACAACAAAGTTCATCCACCAATGTGACCAAAGTAGCTCTAACTGAGAGGGATCCAGATCACTTTTCCTAAGTAATTTTTACAGCTGATGCCCCACCACCTTCTCAAGAATCTTTCCTAAAAAATGGACGGAGACTGCCCAATAGTTATCAAGTATCAAACATCTTGAGGAAGGGGCATGCTACAGCCTCTTTCAAGGCCATAGGCACTGCTTCCCTTTCCCGAAGAACAGATTGACAAGCTTCTCTTTGACAAATAAGCAAGGTGAAAACAATCATTGTGTCTCTCAGCTGCTGCAGTTTTGCTTGCATAGGTTCCTCCTTTTGGTGATATCATCAGTCCTTGTCCCCATCTGCATGAATAATCCCCTATCCGCTTCAATTAAGGAAGTTTCACATCAAATGAATTATAAATTACAATTGCTTTTTAAAAATACTGCTACACTCTTAAACCATTAAGATGCATAAGAACTCCCTAATGATCAAGAATTAAAGCCTTGGTGCAAAATAATTAGTTAGTAAAGCACTTGGAGAATATAATTTTGCAATTACATGGATATGCCCTCTGTCCTTTTTCTTCAGAGGAAATATGCTAGGTGAAACAGATTTTAACAGCTTGTTTGAAGTGCCTGTGTTATTAAAAGATGTATTTGCTATTGTAGAATTGAAAATCTCAAAGCAACACATCTCTCCTACACTTAGCGAACCAAATCCTTGGCCTCCTCATGGGTGGAGAGTTCCCTTACCAAAATGCATTCCAGAACACTAGGTGCCCAGATGCCTGTGACGTCCTCTGGCCAAGGAGACGTGTCCTTGCCACTGTGGTATTCAGTCAGCAGAAAGAAATAAAAGAGAATGACAGAATGGGAAGGGGAGAGAAATACAACCCAGCAGTAAAAGTCAGAGGTCTTAAAGTTGGGGATTTTGTTAACATTTTGGCAAAAATACAGGACTACACACCGCCCCTTTGGTTCATGGACGGGCTAGCGGAGTATCCTAAAAGGGCAATCCATCACTTGTCAACTGCTTAAAATTATAAAAGAAATAGTTTCCATTAAAAAGCTGCTACAGAAGACTGGTTTATAGTTCCACTTTAAGCTTTACAGTGTTACTGTCATAGATAATCTCCCTTTTGAGGGAGATTAATTTCTTTGAGCTCAGAGGAGGCAAAAAGATTGGGATTGGCATTTCAAAGAAAGCAGCAGCCTCACTTCTGTATTTATGCAAGTTGACAAGAGCCCCGCTCCCGCCCTGCCCTGCCCTGCCCGGCAGAAACCCAAACAGTTCTGTCTCCTTCCCCTCGCCTCCATCAGGGCCCTGACAGGGCGCGGGGGCTTGCGTGAGCACTGGGGAACCGATGCTTTCCAAGTATCTTCTCCTTACATAGCTGAGCGGTGGAATGCATCCAGGGTAGGATGTGTAAGAAAAGGCTGGAGGTTAATTTCAGAATCCGGTGGTCCAAATGCCTGGGCTGTAATGGTCATTTTGCTCCAAAGGAGCAGCTGATGAATTTCTGTGGCATGTGATAGTTTTTGAGGCTGGTTCTTACTGGGTGATGTGAGCACCCTGTATGTGTGCATGGAGATGCGTGGATGTGTACTTGCGCATGCTCACATGCCTGCACACAGACACATGCAAAACCATTTTAGTTTGGTAAAATATTAACTTGTGGTACTTTTGATTTCTGCTGGGATAGCATTTATATTTATTGTGCTAAGCATTTGAGGTAAAACCTGATTAGGGTTACCAGAAGTCCAGCAAAAGGAAGACATGCCCTCCTTTTTTCCTCATGTCCTTCATCCAACAGGCATAGCCTTACAATCATTGTTTGGCTTTTTGAGCATTTTAATTTTTGTTTTAATTTTGGAGAGTTTTGATAACAGTAGCCATTCAAACTTAGTGCATTGGGACCTTGTAAATTATCTGCTTCTTTCCTTCAGCTAGAAGGAAAGCTAGATGTATGTTATTTATTTCTAGATTCCACCAATCAACTTCAATCCAGCCCCTTCTAGGCTCCATGATTATTGAATGGTCTATGATGGCTGTAAGCTGCAGATCACATGACTCGTCATACATTTCTATGGTGAAATTTGAAAAGCACGTTGTCAATTCTATATTATTGCTAGCATATGTTCTTGAAAATAAGGATTTGTTGGAAAAACATTGCAATTGAAAAAACAGTCTTTCTGATGCTGGAAAAAGTAATTTCATATACATGTAGGCCTATGTACTTTTTTTTTTTGGTGGTTTTTCACCGTAATTTTTGTCACAAGTGCCAAGAAAGTTGAACAGTTAGTGTGTCCTCCTTTCCTGTTTGTCCTCCTTTCCAATTGTCCGTCTCCTCCTTTGCCTGTTCCAGTATCTGGTAAACCTAAACGTGGTACCGTTTTAAAATGCTTGGGAAGAGCTGCTGCATGAAGAGTTTTACTACTTGGTTCTTTTATGTCAAGAACTCTGTTTGTGGAAACCTGGATGTTTCTACGCAGTTCAAAATAATTTGGTGCAATACAAAGCCTCCATTGTACTGCACTGTGCCGGTCAATTTTACAGAATGTGACCTAACTAATACATGTAACAGCTGCATTCTATCTCTTTCTCTCTCCATTGTGAAGTGTTATACAGAACTTGTCCAGAAGGTGTCCCAATTGTGCTAATTTCCTTTCTTTCAAATTGAGGCAATGCAGAAGAAAATTGGATTGCCTAAAATTGAATGGTAATATATGACAACACATGTAGATCTCCCAATTTGGTCCAGATGCGTTAGCAACGTCTAGAACTCCTGAATGATCCATGTTGAGATGTTTCCAAGTCTACAGTGTTTATTTATGTAGGTAATTAGAGTATTATCAGGATGAATATTGCAATAACTTTGGAGTGAAGTGTTGGGATAGTTGATATTAATAATTTTAAAAACTATGTTTCTTCTGATCTAAAGATATTAATTCAACAAAAAAATCAGAATCTGATATTTTTTCTGGCTAATATATATATTAAAAAGCATAAGCTTTTTGTGACTTTTAATAAATTTATTAATCGGAAAAGTTGCCACCAGATAACTCCTGGTTTTTTGTTACCATAGATTAACATTGCTCTCCTCCTATAATGCCATTAATTCAACCATTTCTTTTTCATGTCTACAGGCACTTCACAGAATGTTTATTATTCATACATTTGTTAATACAGGTCTGGGGAAATGAATGAGGGGTAAAGAAGTCAATGTGATGCTGAATTTTATAAAGCTACTCTGAGACTTTTTGGAATTGAGTGGCATATAAATAACAGAATTAAACAAAAATGTGGAGTTTATCTGTATACGAACTTTTGATTTACTGAGCATGAGATGTCGCCTCTTAGTTATAAGTGCTACCTGGGATTTACGATCTTGGACTGAAGTGTTCACCCTCTGCTTACAAAAAATGTTCTTTATTCACATAATTAAAGACGGGCCAATACTATTCCATGTGGTCAAGGTTTATTACGTATTTAAAAACAGCTTTTTAATATCTGTGATTACATATTACTTTTTTTCTAATCGTTTTCTTTCCTTGAGCTTTTTTATTTTTGTATATTAAAGACATATGCATACACACATGCGTAACACAATCTGAGAGAATCCAGTATGTGTCTTTCTTTATTAGGCAGGGCCACCAAGCAACGAGGGCATCATGTGAAAGCCCTCGTGCATTTCAGCAATCACCTGAGCAGGACTGAAGTCTTTCAAATAAATGAGACAGGATTGCTGCGAGCATCTTTACAATGAATCAGTTTTTGTGACATGAATGTTGATTCGTGGCTTCTATGTGGTTGTTTTACAATGTTTGGTTTTAGTTTTAACCTTCATGTCCTATTTGTTTTTAACCCAAGTTATGGATTTGGGGAGTTACATATCACTTAGAGTCAGTTGATTAAAGCAACCTATAAACCTTGCAAGCAAGCAAATACATAAAATTGTTCCCAAGATTTAGCTGAGACCAGTTCCACATACATTTTCAATGGTTATCACAGATTATATAAACCTAAGTGTCCATCTGAATCAGACAAGTCTCCAAATATCCTGTTTCCCAGAGAGACCATAGTGATGCTCTTTTGCAGGGAGCATCAGCGCACTCTTCAGGGGATGTTCCCTACAAGCATCGCAATGTATGGAAGATAGACACAATCAATTCCTTGTCTAGCCCCCTTTCAAAACAACATAAGCTACTCACTATCAAATTTTGTGAGACACAATCCATAAGAGAAAATACTTAGCAGCACATTGGACGAAACAGAATTCTTATCCCACTGACAATTTTTTCTTCTTCTGTACTTGGCTTCCCTTAAATTCCTCGTAACTCCTGTAACATGGGAAAGTAACTCCACATGTAGCATTCCAGGCTGAGGGAAAGCAGCATAATTAAGCTTAAGTTTAAACCTTATACCACCTAACCACAGTATTATTTAGCACCTTCTGGTAAGCATAAGAGCTCTTACATAATCAGTTCCTAATTTCCACTAATAGAGTAGCAGAGCAGTCCTTAAATGACCAGCCTTCCTGTTGAACTAAATGCCTCAAAATACACTAGTCATGCCCAGTGGTTTATGGAAAGTTGGGGGAAGAAGCCAAACACTCAGTTCTACATATTTCAAAGTCAATTCCATTGAAATCAATAGGATTTTCTTCCAAGTAAAACCATTTAGAACTATTTTAGTCTAAGTACAGGACCTTCATATATTTATGATGATGCATTTTGGAAGCTTGATGCAGCAGAATACAAGTGCAGTAACCCCAAGGTTGACTCCTGTGTCCAGCATGCTGCTGCTAACTCAGAAATAGGCAACACTGTAATGATGTTATTTCCAATGAAGTCCCATAGCTTTGAGAAATGACAGAAGTAGTAACATTATGGAAATAAGCTGGATCCAGACTTCATCATGCTTTGAGTAAACCACTGGAAATCAATAGCACTTCATTTATTCATGACCTGCTCATCTCACCTCATTGATGTCAGTGGTTCTATCCTAAGCATAATTTATTTCAGATCCAATCTAATGGCTGAAATGTACATCCAGAACTTTGCTTGCTAATTACCTTGTACCAATTCTCTTCCCTCAAATTCAAGAAACTTCAAAGCAACACCTTTTGCTTTTCAAAAAGCCTTCAATACAAGATACAAAGATGGACTAGAAATGGGTAGATGAACACCATCCTTGTATGTTAAGTTTGCCCTTCCCATATGAAACTGTGGCTTAGATGTCAAGTCATCCCTTTACTTATCCCTGTGCAGTGAAATATTATTCACATAATATTTAGTTGTATAGTTATGTATTATGTACTCAAGTTAACAAAATGTTTAAGAAAATATTTTATTATTAGAAATTGTGACTCAGCACATATACAAATTTGTCATAATGTTTGCTATTTGTTTTTCTAAATTGGCTATGTTGAAAATAAATTATATAATTTTATAATGAATTATTTTATTTGCACAAATGGAAAAATGTTTACTTTGTGTAAACTTCCAGTGTTCATCAGCATACACGCATGCATGATGTCTTCATCTTTATTTTGCTTGGAGAGCTGCTGGATGTGCTACCACCACTTTTCAAAGAAAATGTTCCCCTGAACAACCCCAAGGTTTTCAAGCAGCATGGAGATGGATTCTATCATTGGAGGTGGTCCACAAATGTACCACAAAGTATTCTTGGAGATACATTTTTCTAAGTCACTCCCAGATAGTCTTCCTTCTAACAGAGAATACACAGAATTAAGAAAAACATTCATGAAGATATTTAATAGAACTATGCTAATTATTTGAAAAGGGAGCTTTGTAAAGCATGTTGACATGAGCAAAGCATTTTCTCCTTGAATTGTTACAGCAGCCAGATCTTCCAGAAGGCTTGAGCATACATGGACCACACTTCTGCTAGGACCACTAGTGAAACAGTGGTGCATATGCATGCATTGAAAACAACTGGGGAGAGTCTTTAAAAGAGTCTTTAAAGCAGCCATGCAAGATTTCCAGAGGAAACTGATGCTTTAACATTTCAAAGAGGTGCTTCAACTATGCCAAAGCACTTTGAAGTACCCCTTTCCAATGCTTTGCTTAGCCTTAGTATTTAATAATTTACAAACAGAAAGGAGGACACTAGCTAGGTCCTCTCCAGCTGCTACAGAAAGCTTACAAGAATTTCCTTATAGTACTTTATGTTTTAGCCAAAATCTAATTGCTATTAATAATACAATACTAAACTTGACCCACTAAATTATCTCAGGAATAAATCAAAACAGCCTAGCTGGGCATGCAAGCAAACAAAAATTGTCTTTAATCAAGCTAGTACCAAGGAAATGGAATAAAAGATTAAAAGAAATGTTTGTAAAGGATATTCATATTTTTTGACAAAAGTCAACAGCAAATGAAAACACATTAACTGCATTTGAAAGCTGATAACTTTCTTATACATGCCATCCTTACTCAGAATAAGGATCTTTATTCACTGCAATGCACATTTATTTGGAAGTGAGCTTTGTTGTTAACATCAGGACATATTTTTCAATAAACACGCATAGGCTGCATGATGAATCCCCATCCTCTTGAAGTTCTACAGAAAGTCCTCACCAACCATTCATTCAGTGACTGTTCAAAGTTACGACAGTGCTGAAAAAATAACTAAATGGCTCATGTATGGCCTTTGCAGCGTACCTCAGTTACATGATCGCCATAACAGTCAGTACATGTTGTCCTGTGCCTGACCTGTGGGTTTTTTCTTTCCCTCCCCCCCCTTGCACAGCAGAGAGATTGGAGAGGGATTTCAAGGGAATGTTTGCTCTTCTACACATCGATAGCAATGCGACTGTGCCAAAAAGAAGCAAGCAATTTCTGTAGGCAATCTCTCCTTTGCCTGACCCTTCCCTCACCCCCCATCCCCACAAAGCAGAGACATTGGAGAGGAAGAGATTTCAAGAGAGAAAGCTATTGAAAGCAATATAATCGTGCCGGCAGCCAGAAAGGGTCAGGCATAAGAGAGATTGCCTACAGAAATTGCTTGCTTTTTCTCTCCCCTCCCTTGCAGAGTGGAGAGATTGGAGAGGAAGGGATTCAAGAGAGTAAGCTGTTTGTGTAGCATGCCCATGGCTTCCAGCCCCAGGTTGCGGTGCAATTGCATTGCTTTCAAGGTGTACAAGACAATAAGCAGGCACTAAAGCAATCCAAAGGTTGGGAGAGTGGTTAGAAGGCAAACAAAAGCTGAAGGAGTGAAACTGACTAGTCTTGTCTCTTTTGAGCCAGAAAGCACAGTAGCGGTCACAGTAGCGGTCACACTTAGCAACTGCTTCACTTAGTAGTGGAGTTGCTGGTCCCAATTAGGGTCATTAAGCAAGGGCTACCTGTACACTATATTTACTTTGGTATATCTCAAAGTACTAAAGTTGTAACTCATAACGCATTTTTTTTAATGCATCACAAAGATACATACCCTTGATGTAAGGCTGAAGTTTCTCACAAATTGGTGAATTCTGCTTGGTAACATGGAAACTGCATGTGATCTTTCCAGGAAATGCATTTGTCAAACCAAGAATCTGCTTCTGGAATGTGCAAGATATTTAGTCATACCACAGTCAAATAAATCAAAGCAGATGTGATCTTTTTGATGGTCCAGGTTCTACAAATTTGAAGAACTGTGTAAGAATACTGTACTTTCAGCAAACATTTTAAGAAAAGGGTAGTATAACTAACTCCCTCTTTTTCTTACAATTAACATAGTATTTCAAATTCAGGCAACATCTTCCTACAGTGGAGACCAACTGTGCAAATAAGTTCTCAAGAAATAGTCACCTACTTTCTAATCGAGTCCCATGCAAGCTTCTACTCCTTACCTAAAATATACTTTCAGCTGGGGGTGAGCAAATACATATAGGTGTTCAGCAAAAGAAATACAGAGCAAGAAAAGTAAAGATGGAATTCATGGAAGGAGTATGCCCTTTCTTAAGTTTAGTAGAAAACAAGCATCTTTTCAAATTCCTGTACAGTCTTTCCAAACCTCACTAGATGCTAGTCCGCTAGTTCCAGCGGACAGTACCTTGACTGGGCTGGACATCAGAGGCCTGCTGCAAGTGTAGCTGGCTTGACTTGAAAATGACAAGATCAGTAATTATAACAACTTCTGCTCAGAGCAGGTCAAATAATAGCAAGTACACCACATGCTATTCACATTCTTCCCCTTATCTAGTTTTACATAATGCTCAGTTACACCAAGTTCCCTCAACAGCTGGAGAAAGTCTGTTACATAGTAGCAGGAGCGAGCAACTTGATGTCCCAAAACATCACGTAGGTCTGAACCCCTATTTGCAATCCCCAATGCTCCCTCTGCTCACAACTGTCATTTTGAGGCAGGAAAGACAAGAAACACATAAAACTAGAGTGCAAATTAGAGTTCTCAAACTGGGTTGTGACCCATTGGGGGAGCAATACAAAGGTCACATTTTTCAAAAACCCGATCAAGCTTGTGCAGGCAAAGTGAAAACACTAATTCTGGGCTTTGCTCCTCATTTTACTCGAAGAAGCTCACTGTAGGCAGCTGGAGTACCACAAAGTTTAACTATTAAAAATAAGTGATTATAGTTATTTCTTGCCCAATCCAAACATCAATAAGATAGTTAGTTATATTCTGGGGGAGGTCACAAATTGATGTACATTTTAGGGAGATGCACAAAGTTTGAAAACCACTGGTATAAGTTTAAGTCCTAAATTAGCTTTAAAAACACCATCCACCCACTAAAATAGAAAATCTTGGCTCTGCCTACATGCATGACACAGCCCCACCCACTTTACATTATCTTCCTACCCACTGCAGCCCCTGACTTCTAAAAAAAAAAAAAAAAAGAAGTTAAGAGTGTCTTGTGGCTATCAAAGCAAATAATGCAATCATCTATAATAAACCTACCCTGAACAGAAGTTCATGTGCATTTTTTGCACAATAGAAGAGTTTGGTTGTTCCTATTTTGTAACCATCTCCTTGAGCTCTGTGAAGGTCTGCGATGTGAAGCAGTATAGAAAATAAAGGATTAATGCCTACTCCACCTGCTATGAGCACTATGTTTGCTGGAATGTCTTCAGGCTGAGGATCATAAAAGAAGTTGCCTCCCACTCGCAAAGCCACTTCTGAATTAAGAGTGCACTATAAGGAAGAAGAAAAAAGACAAAAAAAAACACCCCAGATGGACTTCAAAGAAAATCAGACAGGGAAATATGCAAGAGTTCCAGAGGCAATGCTTTTATTGAAAAGCCACATTAATAGTCTTCCATAGTTTACTAGAAAATAAGAAGTTAGTCTAATCCACACATTCTTCAATGTTAAGAATGTTATTTAGCTGATCGCTCTGAGTGATAATAAGATATGGTTACATTCTTCTTCTGATTCTATGGGACACGCTTAACGCAAACTAAGTATGGCTCAGCAGAACTTGGGAATTCAAATTAGAGATTCTAAGGTCCTGGGAACTGAGGACATTTTTTTTAAAGACATATCCTTAAAAGAATTTTGCCAGAGGCATATTAAGTAGAAGTGCAGTTATAATCATTTTAAAAAAACAGAGAGTGATGTTGTCCAAAGGGACAAAAACAAAAGTTGCACTTAGTTCAATGTTTATCTTACAACATTATACACATATTTCTGCAGTTGTTATGGCTACACAGTATCCAATACAGTTACCAATCAGAAAGACACATAATTTTTCCAGACAAATCATACTGTGAAGAAGAAAATATTTAAAAACAATCATATTAAACTGAATTATGTAAAAAGGCATAATTCAACTTTCCCCAATCAGACATTCTCCAGATGTGGGTGAAGAATTTGGTTCCAACACACTGAGTGGACACCAGACTGGGGAAGGCTGTCAGAATCCAATGTCATGAGAGAGGACATGAGTTTTCACTGTAAGACTTTCTCCTCCATCTTCCAACCTCTTGGGGCACATGATGGACTCAGGAAGGAGACGGAATTGCCCATCCTGGTTCTATCAATGAAAGGACTTCTGTACCAAATGAGGAATGCTGGGTGCCTCACAATATTTTTATAAAATACTCTCACACACATAAAAACACAGAGTATATATTTTCTCCACCAAAAGACAAATAGTGACTAAATAGAACTGGCAAATATATTGCATATGAAAACCAAAAAGGTTTTATTACTGAAGGATAATTTAAATGGGAACAAGTCACAAAGAAGACTGAGGGTGGCATTTTTAAAGCAGTCAGGCCAAATGAAATTTGGGATAAAAAACTCAAGTAGCTTGACTAAGACCCAGTGAGGCCCTAAAGCACTTCCACTGATAAAAAGGCAGGTCCCATTTCCAGGTCTTCCCCTTTGCCACAAGTCCAACCATTCTGTCTTTTTTGGGTGGGTAGCAGCACTGAAATTGCATGCTGAAAAGAAGAGGAAAGTCCTAGCCCTAGAAACACTCCGCTCGTGACAGTTAGAATCCAGTATATTTTTTTCCCTAAGCTGCAGAAACATAACCATATGCTCATCAAAATTATAATATATATATATAACATATATATATATATATATATATATAATTTTATATATATATAAAAAAGTATATAGAATTGTTAGCTTTTTAACGGTTTCAAAATCCAATCCAGTGGTAGCACTATACTATCATTACAGTTTCAGTTCCCTTTTTAGAAATTAAAATATCCAAAACAATAAAAATCACAAAACAATAAGAAGCACAATAAACTATTTCAGCAACAGCTAAGAGATTCAAAACGTCCTTTTGTTTAGATCTTATTAACTACTACTTTATATAACTAAAGAAAAACTCATAGTCATAATCTCACAGATTATGATAATGCCTTATATCTCTTGTCATCTCTCAATACTTGCTCTATTTTTGTTAAAAGGTATAGGTTTGTAATTTCTCCACAGGAGAACGCCCGTATTAGGGATGTCGTTTTTGAAACCTGCCAATTGGCATAAAAAAGCCTTAATGATAACTAGCAGTTCTAGAATTAGCTAATGCTTTTAACTGGTTTAATTACTGTGACACTATGAGTTTAATTTAAAATATTAAAGCAAGAAGGAAAAGTCCTAGGAGATGCCTCTGAGGCAGATAATTATGAGGTTAGGTTTTTGGAGGTCCCTAATGAGCAACAGAGATGCAATAGAAAATCTCCACAAGGATTCTTCTAAGCCAAACTGGTTCTATACATTTCCAGAATACCTTTCAACGTGAATTATTTTATTGAAATTCCAATGGTGCATGAAAGTAGCCTATTTAACAACAGTAGGAACACTTTTTAATGGGCATATGGTAATGGATGGATTAGGAGCAACCTGGGAAATGAAGAGAGAGAGAGCGCGCATTGCTCAAATGGTAAGACTGCACTGATTTTACATTGACCTACTAGTCAACAAAAATAATGTCAGAAGAAAAGCACATTGTTCTTGACACAGCACACAAAAGGGTGCCCTCTCAACGCTTATCTTTTACAGGAATTGTCCTTTCAAAAAACAGTTTTGTATGTATTTTGCTGCTGAAATGTTTAAAGCAATCCATGAATGTTCTGGGATTAATTTTCAGTGGGCAGCAGCTTTTCTAGAGCAAAAAGGAAGTTTTGTGGCACCTAAAATGTGAACCTATTTATTATCATGTAAACTTTCATGGGTCATAGGCCAAGTCTTTAAATACATCTGGTGAAGAGGACTATAATATATGGGAGTTTATGTGATAACAAATGCATTAGTATTTCAGATACCACAAGAGTCTTTGTTATTTGGGTATTAGTCAACGAGCTCCACTTTCTGGCCCCTTTGTGTTCTGGCAGCATCAGAGGAAATAAGCTGGAGTTCAGAGTTCTCCCTCCTTCTGATATCACCCCACACTTTTTTTTTTCCAGTTTTAGAATGCAAATGAATATAATTTTGTATTATTTCTACCATTTCACTGTGCCTTCTTAAATATCACACCTGCCACTACACTTTCATAATTCAATAAGAGAAGACTTTTGTATAGGACCATCACGTACTGGCAAAGGTTTTATCTGTATGTTTGTAAAAGAGAAAAACAGATCAACTCAAAACTATATACATTAATTAAACACAGATTGTTCTAGATATTGTTATTGATAAAATGTTATATTTATATAGTTTTAAAGTTTTATGAACAGCAATGTACAGGGAAGCTTTCTGTGCTAAACTGTCTTTTATACAGATCTTTTCCTGTTTAAGTGTAATGGCAGGTGTAACATTTAATAAATCTTGCACAAATAATCTAATAGAAATTAAACTACACTCTAACATTGAACTTCTGTCCTAATTACTCATAAGGTTACAATACGGTTTCCAATAATTAATATTTAAAAATAAATTTAAAGAATACTAAAACCAACATTATTAGGTGCTCTTAGTTATAGATACCTGATTATGAATCCAGTGAGCAGGTGGGTGTGTTGTATGTTTTACTGCAAGTTCCAATATTCCCTCTTCTTCCAACATACCAGGACTTGAACATATTGAGAATCCACCAACTACAGGAACTCCAGGTATAAAAAAGTCTACCCTAAAAGAAAACAGATTTCCATTTAATTTCTTCTATGCAATGTCCTGGAGCAGATTCCTTTTTTACCATTTAAAACTTCTGCCAAGTTTATTTAAACGTGTAAGGTTTAGTAGTAGATCAAGTATACACACATTATTTGTTAGAACCCTACGTAAACTTCATTAATTGCACAGAACATTGCACTGCTATTTCTATAGGCACAGTTCAAGGAAAAATCACATAGGAGATAATTAGGTGGTAAAGCAACAATGGGTATAATAATACCATTAAAGATCAGCAATCAGAACAACAGAACAGATCAAATGTTGGTATTATTTTCTGACTGTTATAAATGTGAATCATAGTAGCATAATAATATCTTCCAAATATTTAGTATTCACTAGTCAGGTTTGGATGCTACTATAGGAAAGAATCGAGCTTCTTCCCACTGAAATCACTGTTGGTGAAATAACATGGTAACTCGCTAACCTACCTAAAATTTCCCGTAACAGAGAACTCAGAACCTTCAGTAGGATTTTAGACCAAAGAATGGACATGTGAATCTTATTCATTTACTATACACATCTCTCTGCTTTTAGTCAGTGCAATCAGTGACTAAATGTTTACATGAAATGTCACATGAAAGTAAGTAACCTTATAAACGATATAAAAAACAGTGAGAGGAAAGAAAAATAAAAAAGTTCAGGTTCCAAGCATTATGAAATATAAAATAATAATGTGGAATGACCAATGAAGCTGAAAATTCTAACAGGGCAGGAGTCAAATGATAGTTGGTCTGAACTACAGTGGGGCAAAAAAGTATTTAGTCAGCCACCAATTGTGCAAGTTCTCCCACTTAAAAAGATGAGAGAGGCCTGTAATTTTCATCATAGCTATACCTCAACTATGAGAGACAAAATGGGGGGAAAA